GTTCCATTCTATTAATATATTTATAATAATTATTTTGAAAGATTCACAGTAAAAATTATTAATGAATCAATTACTTGAGCTTTTCTCTTTCTTTCTGAAGATGCTTCTAAGGTTGCTTCTGCCCTAAATATTCTGAAATTAGTTAAAAAATATTATGTGATAAAAGACATACACACCAATATCGTCTACACTTTAAGATGTAATCTTTTTTTTGAATAGCATTTTGGCTTATCAATGGGTCAAGAAGATATTTTAATGTATCATATGTATCATGCCACCAAGTTTCTTCATTCAGTAAAGGATCAGGTTCGTTATACATCCCAGTTTCCACCAACTCTAAACTATTAAAGTTATAAATTATTGAAAAATAATTATTAAACATTATTAGTTTAAAGAAAAAACGCTTACAAGTGCAAACACATTCTTTGACAGAATATAGAGAATGGTTCTTGATCTTTAAATATCAGATCTTTATTTTTTGTTTGAATTTTTTTGAAATAAGGTAACCACCAATCATCATCAGATAGTTGGTGTGTGAAGCTTGAATTATTCTTTAGCTCTATGGTATCTTTTGATGAAAGAAGCTCATTAAGCCATGGTAGTGAAGGTAGGTAAATGATTCCTGACACAAATAGATTGTCAAACTCAAGTTTATCAAATTCATTCTATTTGTTTTTCCAATATAATGCTAATGTTTCTTGAAAAGTGTTCTCTGATTCAAGTGTCCATTGCCTAGTACCAAACTAAATAATTGTTATCAATCATAGCTATATAAGATTAACCACAGAATACTTTCAAAGATCTACCTGTCTGGACACAAGCAATTTAAAATTTCGCGATCTTTCGTTTTTAGAAAGTGTGATAGTTAGATGATCTTCAAAAACACCTTTTATATGTGGCCTAGTTTTTCATTCTAAAAATAAAGTCACTCTTAGTAAAGAAACTAACAAGTGACAACTGTATGGTCATAATGAAAGACTTGCAACACCCTGTGCGATACAGGTGAGGCCAAGTCAAAAAA